AGAGAGTAGATCTTGAAAGTTTTCAGCACCAGAAAAAAAATTGTGACTATGTGTGGTGATGGATATTAACTAGACTTATTGTGGTGATTATTTTGCAATATAAGTTTATATTTAGTCACTATGTTATACAGCTGATACTAATGTTATATGTCAATTATTAATAAAAGATGACTACGTTAATAGAAAGAACTCACACTATCTAACTTTACACCTCTAGAAATAGAAAAAAAAAGAATAAACTAAGCCCAAAGTTAGAAGAAGGAAGGAAATAACAAACAGCAGAAATAAATGAAATGGAGACTGGAAAAACAATAGAAAAAAATAAAAGAAACTAAGAGCTGGACCAATGAAAAGATATACAAAATTGATAAAAATTAATTAGAGTAACTAAGGAGAAAAGAGAGAGAGGACGCAAATAAAATCAGAAATGAAAGAGAAGACATTACAACTAATACCACAGAAATGCACTGGATTATGAGACTACTATGAATAACTATATGCCAACAAACTGGACAACCTAGAAGAAAAAGATAAATTCCTAGAAACATACAACCTAACAAGTCTGAACATGAAGAAACAGAAAATCTGAACACCAATAACAAATAAGGAGCAGTATTCAAACACCTCCCAATAAACAAAAACAAGGACCAGATGATTTCACTGATGAATTCTACCAAACACTTAAACAAAATTACTCCCAATCCTTCTCAAACGGTTTCAAAAACTGAAAAGGAGAGAATACTCCCAGGCCCGTTTTACAAGGCCTATCGTTACCCTGATGCAAGGACTGCCCTGAAGATAAGGACACTACGGAAAAGAAAATTACAAGCCAATTCCCTTATGAACAGGGAAGCAAAAATTCTCAATAAAATACTATCAAACATAATTCAACAGCACATTGAACACTGGAATTTGACACAACACTGTAAAATGATTATGAATCAATAAAAAATGAAAAAAAAATAATTCAACAGCACATTAAAATAAGCATATACCATGAAAAAAAGATTTTATCCCTGGGATGTAAGGATGTTTCAACATACGAAAATTATAAATGTGATACATAACATTAGGAGAATGAAAGATTAAAATCTGATGGTCATTTCAACAGATACAGAGGAAGCATCTACAAAATTCAACGTAGTTTCATAATAAAAGCTCTCAACAAACTGGGTATGGAAGGAATGTACCAAAACATCATAGAGGCCATACATAAAAAGGCCACAGCTAAAATCATACTCCAGTGAAAGACTGAAAGCTTTTATTCCAAGAATGGGAACAAGACAAGAATGCTCACTCTCACTACTCCTTTTCAACATAGTCTTGGAAGTCCTAGCCAGAGAAATTAGATGAGACAAAAAAACTAAAAGTATCTAAATCAGAATGGAAGAAGCAGAATTCTGTTTTCAGATAACATGATTTTACACATAAAAAATCCTAAAAATCCATCAAAAAATTGTTAGAACAAACAAATTCAGTGGGTTTGCAAGGTACAAAATCAACACATAAAACCCAGTTCTGTTTCTCTAAATTAACAATGAACTATCATGAAAAAACTGTGGTCTGAAATATACTGAATTTTGGTTTGTTTACTGTATGCATGCATGTGTATATACATACACACATGTACTCATACACATATATTTAAAAATATTTTAGAACTGTATCCTGTTTGTAGTAGAAAAATGGTGATGCCAGGGCATAACAGGTAATTACATAATACTTTAATTGTTTTGTATACAAAATCATGATTTTACTGGAAGTACTTCACTTTTTCTACTTTTCTTTATCAGCAATATGTAATTTTCAAGTGTTCAGGGTTATTTTATTTACCATCTCAGGGATGGACCCTTTTGCACTGTCCAGTACCTTCCTCAGAGCTATTTGCATTTCTTTGTTTCTTAGACTATAAATGATGATATCAAGCAGGTGTCAGTACTGTATAGGTCACAGCCATCACCATATCTTCAGGAAATAAGTCACTGTCCATGGGCCTCAAATAAACAAAGTCAGCTAATCGGTAGTGTACGCACACCACAGTGAGGTGGGAGGACCAAACTGAGAAGGCCTTGTATCTTTGGCAGAAGGCATCCTCACAACTATGGCTCCAATAAAGACATAGGAAATCATAATGAAAATAAAGTTGCCAACAAACACAAAGGCAGAAAGCACAAAAATAGTCATTTCATAATGGGAAGTATAATCACAAGCCATGCTGACCAGAGAAAAGATGTTGCGTAAGTGCTGGATGGTGTTGGAGTCACAGAAAGACAATTTGAATACAGTGATGACACTGCACAGAGAAACCTGAAACCCATGGTGTATGATCTTTTCAGAGCAAAGAGTACACATTTTAGCACTCAGTCCTGATTTTAAACCTGGATTTAATTTAACCAGTTGAGCGCATTTGGACAAGTATTTATAAACTAAACCTCAGTTCTCTCTTCTGTAAAATTAGGAGGATGGGAATGCTTAAATTAGCTCACCAAATTATTGTGAGGATTAAATGAGAAGTGAAATGCAATGCTTTGCAAAGAGTAAAGTCTGAAGGAAATTTGGTTAGGGGTATATCCATCAAAGGGCACATCAGCAGGGTGAGAGAAGACTTTCTAAAATTAGGATTAGCAAGCAAATCAGACTTAGTATTCAGGCTAAAAACAGCTGTTTCTGCCATTGTCCAACTAGTCAAATAAATCACTAACCAGTAGTCTTCCCATTGAGGTTTGTAGACTAAGTCTGATCTAGAAATCATTCAAACCTCTTTTCACTTGATAGTTCTCTATTTACAACTTTAAGGATACTCTTTTCTATAGCTTTTGTTAGAAAAATATATATACATGTCTCAAATAACTGTGTTATTTAAAATTCAGTGCTGAATGGCATTGTATCCCATGTTCCCCAAGGCACCTGATGGAGTGACTTAAATATATAAGTTTAAAACACATAATACAAATACACATTGAATGAATGAAGCTAAGGTTACCAGTTTATGTATGATGTTTAGTATTCCTTAACCTGAAATAGCAAAATAAACTTAGAATCAATATTCAACTATAATATATTTTTTATACTTTCAGTAACTATCAATTAAAATTGTACCAAAATATAAAGAAAAATTGATTACTTCAGTATTGACAGAACCCTTAAAGACTAGTTGTTTTTGTTTGAAGCCAACGGCTCAGTATTCACTTGAGAATGTGATAATGACCCCTGGTGCTTTTGAATTCACATCTGAATCTCTAAAATCTTTAGAGATTTATCCCCAAAGGCAAATAATAATAAAAGATGACATGGCAGCTACATAACAACAATGGCTTTGAATTTATTCCCATAAGATGAATAAATTCTTATTTCAAGAGGTAAGATTTTGGCTTTGTGAATTAATCTGTTGTGCTGCTTTCATTTACCATTTGAGAATATATTACTCTAAAGTTACATCTGTACTCACAAGCTAGGGCAGATGCAATCCAGCAGTCAGTTAGCAAGTAACCTTAGCTGAGTTAACCTAAGTTTCTACAGTCTACTTAGTGTGTATAAACAGGCATAATTCAAGGTGCTAGGATTCCTCATTTTTCTACCCATAAGATCAGGAACTTAGGTATTAGGTAGTCTTTTAACACTATCTACACTTGGCATTTGGTTGTAATACTAATAGATTCCCTAGTTTTGAGATGCTTTGGAGACTCACAGTTTATAAATATCTGGTGGAAAGATTTCCATTGTTTCTTGTTCTAAAGGCTTTAATTTACAGACAACCAGAGCCTTTGGACAAAGTCAAGAAAATGAAGCAAGAAAACTTGGAGGTGAGTCACTCACTGGGTGACTCAATGGCTACTCACTGGGTGAACCTGAGTAAATTTCTTAACTCTCAAGCTGGAGCTGTATTCAGCTGTATATTATGTTAAGACTAACATAATTTGTGCTGTAATACTCCAAATAGAATACAATGTTATGTTAGGAAATGATTTGTTTGAATAAGTGTCTTAAATTATGTCCTAGATATTAAATATGTAATTTTTGCATAGTGATTAGGCTCATATTTCAAACTACTTAATGAAATAATATTTGACTTTTAAATATTATAAATATATAATAAATTTACAATAGGTGACTATTCCCTTTTATTTGAAATTCCTATTTCTTCTATTAAGAACATTGTATTTCTCCATTTATAAACATAGTCTTGATTTACTGATAGAAACTGTAAACTTTGTGATTAACTAGGCACCTCTTTTATACATTAGCTGTCAGTAAGTAGAAAGGTAATTTGTTATCCACCTACTTCCAAGAGATTAGACTTTATCTTAGTATTGCTTAATTTCATTCACAGTATAGTTACTAAAGGGAAGGACTATATTCAGACTGCCTGGGATTCACATCTCGAGTCCACAACTTGCTGCATAAACTTAGGTAAGTCACTTAACATTGTCAAAATCAGTTTCTTCTTCCATAAATAAAAGTACTTAATATTATTTCATGGAAATTCAAAATAGAACTAAGTATATAAAACTCTTAATATTGTGCCTATCATTTAGTAAGCATTTAGTAAATACTAGCTATTACTTGAGTTCCCATATTATAATCTTATATTAATTCATTTTAGTCTATTTTGTTATACTTATCATTCCTTTTTGCTATTCACATGCCTTAATTTTCGTAACTCTTTAGCTTTAAAGTCACTTTAAGTATATTTTATTAATATATAACATAAAGACAAAATCTACATTATTTGAAGGTTTTCTAGTGTTTTTGCTAAAACAATTTTTAATATAAAGAAGACATTACATATACACATAAAATCTAGAATATAAAGTAAAAAAAGTCTAAACTTAGTTTGAATAATTTATTTGTTTATAATAACCTCCTTATGTATTAATGAAAATGGATATTTGTTTATAATAACCTCCTTATATATTAATGAAAATGGAAACATTGAATTTATAACATCTGTAATGTAGTGTTTTACCATAGGTTCATTTTGGTAGCAGCTGCATAATCTCATGGATTCCCTAGGAGATGGGAACCACACTGCAGTGACAGAGTTCATTTTACTGGGCTTAACAAATGACCCAGTCCTTCGAATCATCCTCTTCATGATCATCCTATGTATCTACCTGGTGACCATATCTGGCAATCTCAGCACAATCATTCTTATCAGAATCTCTTCTCAGCTCCACCATCCCATGTACTTTTTCCTGAGCCACTTGGCCTTTGCTGACATGGGTTCTTCATCTTCTGTCTCACCCAATATGCTTATAAACTTCCTGGTGGAGACAAATACCATCTCCTATCATGGATGTGCCATGCAGCTTAGTTCAGCTGGTTTCTTTGGGACAGCTGAGTGCTTCATTCTGGCTGCCATGGCATATGATCGCTTCGTGGCAATCTGCAACCCACTGCTTTATTCCACCAAAATGTCCACACAAGTCTGTGTTCAGTTACTTACAGTGGCTTATATTGGTGGTTTTCTCAATGCTTCCTCCTTTACTATTTCCTTCTATTTTTTACTCTTCTGTGGACCAAATCAAGTCAATCATTTTTTCTGTGATTTTGCTCCTTTGGTTGAACTCTCCTGTTCTCACATCAGTATCCCCACAACTATCCCCTCATTTACGGCTGGCTCCATCATTGTGGTCACAGTGACTATCATAGCCATCTCCTACATCTACATCCTCATCACCATCCTGAAGATGCGCTCCACTGAGGGGCGCCACAAGGCCTTCTCCACCTGCACGTCCCACCTCACAGCGGTCACTCTGTTCTTTGGCACCACCACATTCATTTATGTGATGCCCAAGTCCAGCTACTCAACTGACCAGAACAAGGTGGTGTCTGTGTTCTACATGGTGGTGATCCCCATGCTTAACCCCCTTATCTACAGTCTCAGAAACAATGAGATTAAGAGGGCTCTGAAGAGAGAGCTTGGCAGAAAAATAATTTCTTAGTGAAGACCGATATTTTGTAGGAAACAATATAATAAAATACCATAAGTAATAAAAGGAAACTGAGTGCCTGTGGTCTAAATATATTGTTCTGTAAGTAATAAGCTAATGTAGAGTTTTTTTGTAATGAGGGTGGATTTTCTGACATCAAATTGTAAATCAGAGGTCAATAGTGAGTTATCTTAAATATAGCAAAATTGAAGTTATCATTATAAACACAAATTTGTTCATGTGAAAAAATACTTGATTTGCTGAAAATTCTTTCAAAATTGTATTCATACCTTTTAAAAAGTTGTTCTCTGCTGTAGAGCAGGGGTTTTGTACATCCAAACCTTTAAGATGTGTCCATTTTCAACAGCAGTTTATCCTGAAATAAGCATGATAATTATAGTTATGATTGAGGACATTCAGAGGGGAGATAACCAAGTAGAACCAGATAGTAAAATTTCTGGAGACATTCTTCTTGCAGAAAGGTTATCTGCTGCTATGGGCTTTGTAGACTCAGATTCTGGGCTGTGTTCCTGATCTCTGGCATCAGCTATTTATAGAGGACCCATTAAAGAACAGGATGAGATGCCCCTGACCAAACCAACTGTGAGTTCTTCTATCAGGTCAAAACAGCTGACTTCTCTGTGGAAATAAACAGTGTTTCTAAATCACTAGGGGGTGAATAAACAAGTTCTTTAAGTGACTTGTTCATGGTCAGATGCACATCTTGTTAAGAAAGTTTGAGGGAACTAGATTGTGTCTCCCCTGTGAAGTTTAATTTGTCTCTATATATTGATGACTACCATATTTGTATCTCTTTCCCTGTCCTCTATATAGTGTTCAGACAAAAATATTTTTATCTATTGAATCTCAAGTGGAAACTGTCTAAAATTAAGTTATCTTTCTACCACCAACTTGCTCTGCTCCAATGCTCCAAAAGGAGGCACCATCATTCAATCAATATATTGATTCAGAACCTGAGAGTAGTTTATTCCTTTTCTCCACTCCATGCACCTATATTCAATCATAAAGTCTTGTACATTCTGAATCCAAGATTTTTTTCCTATTTTTCTTCATTTTCATTGTCAGCAGGTCTATTTCCAGCAACCAATTTAACATTTATTTTACAATAGTAATCCTGTGAGAGCTAATTGTATGTGTCAACTTGGATAGGCTATGGTGACCAGTTGTTTGGTCAAAAACTAGTATAGCTATTGCTGTGAAGTTGTTTTATATATACTTAATCTTTATATCAGTAGATTGGGGTAAAGCAGATTACCCTCCTTAATGTGGGTGTCCCTTGTTCAACGAGTTGAAAGCCTTAAGAGAAAAAAAACTTGAGGACTCTTGAAAAAGAGGGATTCTGTCTGCAGAATGACTTTGGCCTGAAGACTATGACATAAACTCTTACTGGAATTTCCAGTCTGTTGGGCTGCATGTTGATTTTGGAACTGACAGTTCTCACAACTGTGTGAGCTAATTCCTTAAAGTAAATCTATCTGTCTGTCTGCCTGTCTATCTATCTATCTATTAAAGGCAAAAATTCTTAACACGGCTTACAAAATCTTGAATGTGGCCCGTTTTTTCTTTCTCACTGCTCTTCCCTTGGCCTTCAAAAACCCAAACCTTAGAAAGCAATCATTTGGTCCTTTTTTTAAAAAATCCTTAGGCATGTCCATATTCTTTGACACTTAGAGCCCTCTCACATGCAGGACTTCTACCTGAATGCATTTTCTCCCTCACCTGGGTAATACCTACTTATACTATAGGTAGTAACCTAAACACCATTTCCTATCCACTTGGAAGCATTCTTGAGCTTCCAGACCAAATTAAGTACACCTGTTACCCTCCACCATAGAACCCTGCATATTTTCTTCAGAATACCGAAGGTACTTGGAGTTACAGATTCAGTATTTGTTTTCTCCAAAATGCTGGAAGACCTTCAATGTCTTTCCCCTTCCCTCATGCATCTAATTTCCACACAATTCCTGGAACATAGCAAGCATAAATGCATACCTGAAAATGAATAAATAAAAAATAAAAATGAACAGAAGGCCGAATAAAGCATTTTCTCTGGCATAAACCACTGACTCCATGGCTTTTTAATCTATTGAAAATCAGCTTGATCCAAGTGATTAAATGTTTGTGTCTGATCCTTCTACAACTTTAACAGGCTTTTACACAAACCCTTGCTCACCACAATCATGCCACTGCTTTGACACTCTTTAACTCATATTGGCAACCGGAATTCCAGCCTTGCTTAGTAAAAGTTCTGTAGTCACCCTCTGCTGAATAATGTCTTCCGTATGTCTTTGCATGGTTGGAGAGCTGTAACATGTAGGAGTCAAATGTTGCTAAGAGTACTAGGAGCAGTAGTAAGAATAGTAGCAAAGGAGCTAACAATATGAGCTTGTTTACTAGCTTCTAGGTCCTGTTCACAGTGATTTACAAGTAGTGACCCAATGAATCCTTGGAATAGCCATAAAAGTTTTCTTTTTAATATTTTTATTTTACAGAGGATGTAATTGAGGCACACAAAGGTTAAGTAAAAGCTAAAGGCCACAAATATCCTCTTAGTACTCTGACTTTTTTTAAGGCACATTCCTTTTGCGGGATGGTTGTAAAATGAGGCGTTCTTTGAGAATACTTCATCACTAGAGGACTTTCATTTGTGGGTGACACATGTCATTCTACTCAACTCTTTCTTTTCAAAGTAAGAATGCAGGCATCTACACCTGAATATGTCAGGCAAACTGGTATTAGGCCAACTTCCTGTCACAGAATAAGAAGGTAGATAAATATTGTTAAATGTTTGAAGGCATAGAATTCCAGTTCTGTTGAAGATGATGTTGCTCCACTCACCTCAGGTCTTCTATTACTAAAAATAACCCTGGATGGAATACAGCAAACAAGCATAAGAAGATTCTAAAAAGGAAAAAGAAGAAGGCAGACTCCGAGGACTCAGGGACCTGAGGAACGACACAGAAGTGAGTCCCTGCGTTTTGTTACTGTTTCCGTATTCCCTGGACAGGGTGCTGCCTCCCAGAACTGCCCAGAGACACAGACAAAAAGAGCTCTAAGAAAAGCTTGTTCCTCCTAGCCAAAGGACTAGAAGAGTGGCCTTAACAGAATAGAATAATTTTTGCAACACCTGCCCTACTTCAGAAAAACACCAATGGAAAAATCGTCCCACCTTCCTTCCCTCAGGTTTCAGTGGAGCCAAGAAGGGAACTGGTTTTCTCCCCACCCATTCTCCAATTCTCCTGCCAGGATATTGTAGTGGGGCACAAGGGAGAAATGTGCCTCCACCGTCATTTGGCAGCAACGAGACTTAATGAAGGAGTATGAGGTGGGACTAATGTTACTCTGCTCCCTCGCCTCCAATTCTACTTGTAAGTGGGGTCCCACTGAGGACCGGAGCTTCCACCTCCACCTACAACAACAAAGCAGTGTGAAGCAGCTCTGCTTCCAACCTCCCTGGTGCAGCGGGGCCCAACAAGGCACTGGGCTTACTTGGAGGAAAGGAGGTGTGCAAGTCAGTGTCAGACTATCCCTGGGAAAAAGACAACAAGGTAAAGGGAGTAACTGAACTTCCACCTCACTCATCTGCAAGGAGGCAGTGGGAGTCAGCGCTCCATTTATGACAGTGCTGTGTCAGGAGGGCTCGGCAGGACGCTGGACATACCACTCACACGGTGGTTGCAGTGACACCTCAACAGGGTCCTCCCTCTAAACAGTGATTAAATCCGATCAGTCTCATAATATAATATCCTAAATGTCTATGATACCACCAAAACCACTGTCATACCAGATTTTAGATTTCTGAATACAGAATATATTAAGTCACTGATAGTGTCAAAAATGGTGACTAGCCACACACTAGCTACGGGAGGAAATTCAAGTACCCCCACGTGATATGTGATGTTCATCACAAACAGATCCCTAGACACTGGTCCTGGCTCAGTTTCCACCACATCCCTCTGCCTACCCTACACTCAAAGCAGACAACAGTGCTTTCTAGTTTCCCAACACTTCACAGTCCTTCATGCTACTGTGCCTTTGCAGGTGGTGTTCCCTCTGCCTCAGTTTTCCTTCCTCCATTCTACTTCTATCAGACTCTTACTCACTTTTAGGCCCTAGCTTGAATTACTCTGATTTGTCATCCTCTCCTGTTCACATTTCCTAGATTCCAGGATCCTAACTAAAAAATATCTCCTGCATTCTAATCTATCTCTCATGTGGATTTTTGCTACATCTATTTTATCCCTCTTCCAGGTCTATCCTTCACCTCCTACCATATTTTCTATATCAAATCTATGATCATGCTACATCTTTTCATTTTTGTCATGTTTTAGATAACCTTTGCTTACAAAGCAGGGAATTTTAACACTTCTAAACATCATTGTATGCTTCAGTAATACATCTCAAATATTCTCATAGCCATCATAAAAGTGTCATAAGTATAAGGGCTATTATCATGACCACGTTTGAAGTGAGGAAACTATAGCTTAGAGAGTTACTTAATTTGCTAAAGGTGATATATATCTGGTAAGTGTACATACACGGTATAGTCATAGCAAGGCAGTGAGATTCCAGAGACTATTTGCTTGACTAGTTGGTATTAAGACTTCCCTTAGTGCAAGTATTCTAGCATGGCATTCAAGATCTTAACTTTAGCCTCATTTCCTGCTACTGAAACTGAGCAGGACCCTGCAGGGCCTTACCAGGAACATGTCCTCTGCCTCTTGTTTGTAGCAAAGCTTTAGCCTCCTAAGCCTTCCTTGAGTTTCAAAGAGCACATTTAATTAGAGAAGTGAGAAAATGCAGAAACAAGAGAAAAGAGTCAAGCAAGATAAAATAATAGCTTAGCCATAAAACAAAGTCAAGAAACTTTAGTTCCTCCTCAAAGGCTACAAATAATATTCTGAGCTATACCCTTAGTTGATCTGCAGATACTAAAACCCCACCAGATGGAAGAAATTAACTACATACTGAGCACAAGTATGTAGAACCCC